CATCGTCATGGTAGTGGTTGGTAGTAGTGGTAGTAGTAGTAGCAGTAGTCGTCGTAGTAGTAGTAGTAGTAGCAGCAGGAGTAGTAGTAGCAGCAGGAGTAGTAGTAGTAGTAGTAGTAGTAGTGGTAGTACGAGGAAGAGGAGGAGGAGGAGTAGGAGGAGTAGTAGTAGTAGTAGTAGCAGTAGCAGCAGTAGTAGCAGGAGTATTCTTAGTATTGTTATTATTATTATTACTAGTAGTAGTAGTAGTAGTAGTAGAAGAAGTAGTAGTACCTTAAGAAAAGTGGTGGTGGTGGTAGTAGTAGTAGTAGGAGCAGGAGCAGGAGCAGGAGCAGGAGCAGGAGCAGGAGCAGGAGTAGGAGCAGGAGTAGTGGTGGTAGTGGTAGTGGTGGTGGTAGTAGTAGTAGTAGTAGTAGTAGCAGAAGTAAATGTAGTAATACCTGTAGTACTAGTAGCAGTAGTAGCTGCAGTAGTCGCCAGGTTTTTCTATAGATCAAATCTGAAGCTTCCGCCTAAGCCCTCATCTGCTAAACCCTGCGCACGCACATCCCGAGCCCTTCACACTCGTGTGGCTTGTGTGACAGGCTCCCATGGACGCTGGAGTGTTTTCATCTTCAGGGTCGGAGTATGATGCCGTGGCGCTGGCATGCTTCTCTGTATGCTTGGCTGAGAGTCTAGACCTTGATACAGGGCCTGAATATTTCTAACGCTTACCTTGGCACATTTGGTCGACTCAGCAGTCGGGGTTTGGTGCATATGGGATGATGGCACACTTCGGCTTACTAGCCGATTTTAAGACAATGTCGGTGTTTTCCAATTCCTTTACAAGCCTGTTTTGGGGTCAAAGGTTGTGGGTCTAGCTATTCCTGCAGCTGCTTGCAGTATGAAAATGCATGAATTCTGGAGTCTATATGAAGCCTGCATCATAGTCTAATTCTCGTGCATCCTCCCGCGTCCTGCATCCCGCATCCCGCGTCCCACATCCGGGGTCCCGCGTCCCGCATCGGATCCTGCGTGCTGCCTCCCGCGAATTCAGTGCCGCCGCCTGCGTGGCAAGAACAACCTATATCCGAAGTATGCGCTCAGGGTTTGGGATGTAACTACTGCCTTGCCCTGTGGCGGAGTCGGAATTGTGAGTGTTGTGTGGAAGACCGTTATAAACTGCTACACTCTTAACACCTCAAACCCTTCAGGCTCCCTACACCCTGGAGCCCTCAAGCCCCCAGATCCGATCCGGCCCATTTCAGCGCATGACATGAAAGCTTAAGAAAATAGGGGGCCCGAATGTTAACTTTCTCAGTAGTATCGGAGTAGGATATGATCTGTATTGAGGGACCCCTGAATAAGGCAAGAGAAACGCTGCGGCAACGTGCCTCGTCGTACTTGAATCCTCGCCAGCCTCACTCCAGCTGTGAGTGCTGAAACGTTGAACCACTTAGTAGCCGAATGAGTACACTTTAAACTTTTTGGGATAAGATGATCCCTTATAGAACTGAAAGTGTACACTCAGATCATGTTAAACTTAAAGTGCCTAAACCCTAAACCCCAAACCCTAAAGCTATGCGAGACGGAAAAAAACCCTAAAGTGCCTGAACCCTAAACCTTGAGTAGAACTCCCACGTGTCAGGACCCTTCGAGGAGGCCCAGGTCTTTGTGAGCCTCGGCGCTGCTGGCTGAACGAATTCATGGCTTAGGGTTTTAGGGCTTTGGGTTGAGTAACCCTAAACCCAAAAGTTTAGGTGTTGCTGTTGGGTTTTTGTGGGTTTCGGGACTTGGTCCGGCAGTGCTGCTTCCCAGCTGATTGGCAGAGTATGGGGAGGTGATGTCTTCTAGTTTTTCTGGTTTATGGTAACTAGACTCATGACGGGGCCCCGTTTGCACCCTGGACCTCAGAGCACTCAAGCCTTCATTCATCCACCCCTGCTTGCTGAAGGATGTTCGGGTGAATTTCCGGGCTCCTGCATACACTCTGGGGTTGGCTCCCTAAAACACAAACCCCCACACCCCAAGCCCTAACGGTAGCTCGCGCCGGGTCGAACAAATTAACCCCATCACGGTAGCTTGCTGTTATTGTTCTTATTTCCTAACACTATCAGCATTCTTACTTCTTAAATTCCATACTACGCTGGTGCCTGAAAGTCATCCCCGCCATCAAAATCCTGATGTAACACCTGGTCTTCCTTCAACCAGCCCCATACATGACTTCCATACAACGTGTACATACACACATATATCTATTATATATATATATATATTCACACATGTGTATATAAATATGTTTATTTGTTTGTTTACTTATTGTTTTAATTTATCTGTTTATGTTAGATCATATCATATCACACTATATTATATGATGTCTATATATATATATGCAATATATTATGCATGTATGTTCGTGTGTTCAGATTAGATACTGAACCTTGGTTTGTAGTGCTTGTCTTCTTGTGCTGAAGGCAGGCGAGCACTAACATCAGTCTCCTCGCCCCCGGCCCTCAAACGAGGGCTTTGACGACTTTTTGGATCTGTTGAGGAGTAAAGTTCGGGTTTAGGGTTTAGGGTGTTAGGGTTTAAGTTTTAGGGGTTCAGGGTTTAGGGGTTCAGGGTTTAGTGGTTTTGGGGGTTTTGGGGTTTAGGGGTTTTGGGGTTCATGGGGTTTAGGGTTTTATGGTTTAGGGTTTAGGAACTAGTGTGTAGGGTCTAGGACCCAGTGTCTATGGTGGAGGCCGTGGCTAGTCGCGAGGTATTTGGAACCAACTAGCGTGTCTGAACTGCCGATGGGCAGGGGTTTCTTTTCGATCGTTGGTATCAAGAGACTCAAAGGAGCCTTCTATGAAGAACTCGTGTTCTGTACTCAGCAAGAGTCATGGAGTAATCCTTTCTTGATGGCATCATCTGCATGTGCTGCTTGATTCGCAAGAAAAATCAAGCCGAATCCCCGGACGGAAGAGCCTCAAGCTCTTCGCTTCGGGGGTTGCTCCCTCTCTCTCTCTCTCTCTCTCTCTCTCTCTCTCTCTAGGTTTTAGGGTTTAGGGTTTGGGTTTGAGTGCTTCCCGGTAGCCTAAACGATCGGAAGTTCTGCAGGAGCGACCACTGTTCGAGGCGCAATCACATAGACCAGCCGCCTTTTTGTTTCATTTGCTGCAAAACCCCAAAACCCCAACAATATCGTGAAAACTCAGAGTCCTGAAGTCCTCGAAACCTTGTATAAGAACCTATGACCTATGATGACCTGCCAAGGATAGTGATCTCGTGGTGGGCTTACGCCCGGGGAGATCGGTACAGCTCTCAGAAGTTATGGGTATGGTCCATGGCAGTTAAGGGCTACAGCAGTTTAGGGCATTCGGGTTAACAGGAGTTGAGGCTCTGGGTGCGCAGATGTTGCGACTCAGTGAGTTCCCAGCGGAGCCCGACAAACGCTGGGCCATTCTGCCCGGAGCCACTGATGTTGTGCTTTTGGCTCTTCTCGGAGGAAGTGAAACAGGAAACAAAGGCTTTGAGACAGCCTACTCTAGCTTGTCGAGTTTGTTCCGTGCTGTTGAAAACAAAACCGTCATCAAGCACCAAATGAGCTGCAAGACCTGCTACGTCTCTAGACTCTCAATCTTGGCCACTGCGAAACTCCTGCTGCCCCGTAGTGCTAGCACTCCAAAGAGCTGTGGTGCCGTAGGTTCAAGATATTACCGCGGGGAAGAGGCTTCTCCGCTCGAAAGCCGAAACGAAGCCTGTTTTGGATTTGGGTTGTTCAATTTATTGGGTCGCCTTAGACCCGAAGCAAGCTTTAGGTCCATCTGGTCCCACAAACCGGAGACATTGTGCTGCTGGTGGACGAATCTGGCCGCATGGACGTGGCCCAAGTCTGGAAATTTGTTGAAAGAAGCAATGCCCTTTTGTGTGCACGCCTGTACCTGTACATGTGTTTGTCTCCACAGTGTTATTTTGTTTTTTGCCCAGTTGCCTGCAATGGAACCTCGATCTGGGATGCAGAAGCGGTGACGCCTAAATGTCAGCATGCCCCGTATGAATATTCTGGTATTGCTCAGGAATGCTTACATACTTACTTGCATGTGTACGAGCAAACGCTGTGTATTATTTGTGCATGTTGTACATGGTTTGCTCATTGAAGGATAACTATGATGTTACCAAATAATGATGGTTGTTGCTATCAATATTTTTGCTGTCATCCCTTCCTCTTTGTCTATCTCTCTTGCTCCCCTCACCTCCCCTCCGCCTCCCCTCGCCTCGCTTCGCTTCCCCTCCCTTCCTCCCTCATCTGTACATGGATGTCGGACTATACTCACAGCAGCTATGTGCCAGGCGAATCCGTGGAGCCCCGAAGCAAAAAGCGTGGGAGTTATAGCTGTGGGCGTGCAAGGTCAAGCGGCTCAAAAACATCGTGTTCGAGGCAAGACCATACCACCGCTCCATTCCGGATGGCAGAGCCTGTACCGGTCTGCCTTCTTGAGTTGACGCAACCCGAGACTGTGTTGTGAGGCTGATCATGCAAAGTCGCAAACTCCGTTCGGTCCGTGGCTCCTTCGAACCCTGATAAAGGGATTTTTGCGCTGAGCACCCTTCGTGACGGCTGTACACTAAATTGGAACCCGAAGTAGTGTAGACTGTCGACTTCACCAATATCTCTGTTACTACCAGCACTGCCACAACCAGGGTCACTGCAAAAACGGGGAGGCTGTGCCGGCTTAGACGACGACGGCGCTGTCGACGACGATTTCGAATCTCATTGCTTGTGCTACTACCAGTCTTTCTATGCTACTTGTACTGACCACCAGCCACCAGCAGTAGTTGTGACACAAAATCGCACGGTAAGCAGCGATGGCCATCTTGATTGAGAGGCTTGTTCAGAACAGTAAGCAGGAAAGCAATTTGGATTCGACGTGGCACCCCGGAGCCAAACGAGCTCCAATTGAGCAGGCTCCGACGGTTTTCGCCAAGCACCACGATGATTGGGCTTTGCAACCGCTCAGCAGCCTGCGTGGCTGGTGGGATCGTGGAGTGCGGTGTGGTTCGGTCGGGATTTGATCGAGGTATGGTTGCATCGGGTATGTGAACCACCAGGTACTCGGCCACTAGCAGGATGTGTTTCCGGCCCATAACGGATTTGAGTCGGATCTTGAAATAGTAGGAGTTTCGATGAGCCCAGCATAGCCCAGCTGACCGATAGCTTGGAGGCATTCCTTGTTGATCTGTAAAAGTGTTGATCCGCTTGCGGGTTTGGTCTGCGCAGTGGAAATCTTGGCCGTAGTTTGCTGTTTAATTTGTCCGTCTTCGTGGTTGTGCAGGGCAAGGTCATGATTTTCACACTGGGGCTGAGTGTTGCATATGCAGAAGCCTGCATATGCCGATCTTTTACACACGCTTCCCTACCTACCTGCCTGCCTGCCTGCCTACATACCTACCTACCACCTTCCTTCCTTCCTACATTCGTACCTGCCTACCTAGCTACCTACCCACCCACCTACCTACCCACCCTCCCTACCTACCTGCCTTCCTTCCTTCCTTCCTTCCTTCCTTCCTTCCTTCCTTCCTTCCTACTCCCTACAGACCTATCTAGCTACCTGCCTACCTACCTACCTGCCTGCTCAACTAGCTACCTATCTACTTGTCTGTCTGTTTATCTATCCGTCAGTTTGTCCATCTATCCATGGTTTCGCGAAGTCAGAATCAGATGCGGCGGCCTTTGGTAATTCTCGGATTTAAAGTCTTCCGAGTTCGTGCCGCAGGTGCTGGGTCGAAGGCGACAACGCCATGCTCTCCGAGGATGGAAGCGGGTGAAGGGTTGAGGGATTTGCGGTCTTGGGTGTACATAGGGTTTAGGGCTTCGGTTTTTTCAGGCGATTGCACAAGTCCTGATGCAAGAAGGTTGGGTTGGGGGTTTTTTGCGGAGTCCGGACTTTGGTTTGGGGGAGGGTTTAGAGACTGTCGGGGTTTTGATCTTTCGACCGTAGGGCTTGTGAGCTTGGAATGTAAGGAGTAGGGGTTTGAGGCTTAAAATTTAGGTTTTAGGCTTCATTGGTGTTTGTTAGCTTTTATCAGGTGATGACACTTGCTGTTGCTCGCTGTGAAGGTGTACCAAGTTGGTCTTGAGATAGAACGTGTGGTAGAAACTGCATGTTCAGGTTGGTTGTGATGTTGTTTCGGGTGTGTCTCTTGCTACTACTCGAGGGGTGGGGTGTTCGGTGGATTTAGTTGTTGGTAAATCGACCTGACACGTACTCGTGTGCTGGGCTTCGACAACTACATAGGTGGTCTTGAACTGTTTGGAACGTACGCCGGCGCAACTTTTCATTCTAGGGAGTTTGGGGGAGTCACAAGCCCAGTTGTCAAGGATTGCTCGAGCAGGTCTTTTCACTAGAGTCACTAGAGCCCTAGGCGCTGATCCATCTTTCCGTCCGAGCTCGAATTGCACCCGGAATAGCCCAGAGCCCTAAACCACAAGCCTAAACCCTATGAACCCCTAAACCCTAAGCCTTAAAAGAACCCTAAACCACAAAACATAAGTGAAGCTTTGTAAGGACTCCCGCATCTTCGGTTGGTTGCCATCGCACCGCTTGGAGGCCGCGGCAAGGGGTTGTCCAGAGTGGTGAAACTGAAAGGTTTAGGGCCGTTTAGGGGTAGGGCAGTTTCAAGGTTTTCTGCAGTTGGGTAACTATCTTGGACGGTGCTTATGGCCGGGACTGAACTTTGGAACCGCAGCGTGCCAGTGCTTTTGCTTCCAGGTGCCAGGGGAAGCCAAAGGCAAATCATAAGAGTCCTGTATAGATTGTAGGGTTAGGTCTCCTGTTTCGCTAAAAAGAGGGCGAATCCCAGCTTGCATGGGGCGAGATAGGCGCAATAAACGAGCATCCTCAAAGCACTGGGCAGCCTGGGTGGCAGTTTGAACCGTATGGTTTATGGTTCTTGGGGTTTAGGGCTTTTGGGGTTTGCGACACAGAGTCCTGGATGCAAAAAGGGTTGTGGCTTGAGGGTTTTCTCCTTGACTCGGAAAGCTATACTGAGATTTTCTTAGACGCGGGTAGCCTGACTTCACCACGACCGAAGCCCCTACTTCATCACACTCCCAAGCAGCCCAGAACCGATCAGCCGGAAATTGTGGGTTTCAGCTTCTGTCGGAGGTAGGAGGTCGGGGGGGTACTGTACAATATGGAGGGGCTCCTTGACGTTTAGAAGCAGGGTTTGGGGTTCATTGTAGTGTAGGTATGTCAGGACTACAATAGGTATATTCTTACGGATGATTCAGGCCAAGATTTTCTGTACAGAGGTCTGGTCCTTCTGGCGCTTTATTTGGGGCTTTTTTTGGTGTTTTCGGATCCAGGAGTCGATGCTTGGGGCATCTTGGGGGGTGTTGGCTCATTTGGGGGGGATACGGTTTTGGGGTATACGGTATATGTCTGCGAAAAACGGCAGGGCCTTCGCGACATGGCTGTAGTCCGTTTAAGGGGGTTGGAAGATGGAATTCGGTCTGGAGCCTTAGTAGAACTCCCTTCTCAAACCCTCGGCCATACAAACCCCAACCTGCACTTTCTGTACCCCGAACCCAAAACCCCTAAACCCCTAAACCCTCTACTATGATAGATGCCACTGTCTTGTTTGATCTGAGCTGTGGAAAGAGTAGTGCATAGATCTTTTGAAACAGAGGCAGGGCAACGTCCCTGACACAGTGTGACGATATGGCTGAGTGCGTGCCAGGTCGTGTAACTTTGTCCTTTGTTCTTATCTATGCCTTGGTGTGGGTTGTTGTGTCACGACCTGAATGCGCTGAGCACACTTGAGGAGATTGCACCATGAGCCTTGCCTGCTGCGTGCGAGTGTGAGAGTCGAAACCCTCTACCCCAAAAAACCCTAAAACCGTAAAACCTCTAGAAGCTGCAGCGAGACCCGCTAAAGGCGGTGGCGATCGCCGTCGTGTGGCCCCCTTGGCGCAGTACCTGGCTGTGGGCCTGGCTGGCTTCAGGGCGCTTTCGAAGCCCCTGTAGGGTTTAGGGTTTAGGGGTTTAGGGGTTTAGGGTTTAGGCTTTACACTGCAAGTCCGTGCGTAAAGAAAGGGTTTAGGGGTTTAGGGCATATAAACCCTAAACTTTTTGCATGGTCTAGGCGGATGGTCAGGATATGGCTCTCGACTTGTTTTGGCGAGGTGATGCATACCCTCCTGCCATTCCAGCCGTTTTGTTCGTGCCTTTGCGTAGCGAGGCATTCGAGGATGGCACAGCAGAGAAAGAGAGAGAGAGAGAGAGAGAGGGAGAGGTGCATACCTGCTAGCACAGGCAAAAGTGGCAGAGCCTTGCGCCACGGAGTCTGCTAGGTGCTTGTTCACGAGCTTAACCCAAGTTACAATAGTGGGTGAGTATTTTCGGTATCATGCAGGAATATGTTTCCCTACAAACCCTACCATGTTCTCCCAACCGCAGTTCGCATCAAGACGCCGATCGAGCTTGCCAGGCTTGAACCTCGCCGAGTGCGCGATGCCCTGTCGCCGGAGGGAGTGCGGTCGCTGTGCTGCTGTCGCATGCCGGTACAGTTGCTGCGTCGCCTCTGGCGAAAGACCGTCTTCTGGGGCTCATGGAGTTGGGGTGTAAGTCTGCAGCATCTTGAGCTGTTGTCAGTGGTGAAAGGACTTGCAGCACGCTAGGTGCTGCAGAATGGGCTCACTAATGGTTTGGGTTTTTTTGGGAGGTGTTGATTTCGAGTTGGTAGCAGGTTAAGTGTTTTGGGATCACACTTATGGAACTTCGTTGGGGCTTCTAACATCTTTGGATCGACTCAGGGGTATACGATTCAAAATTCTTTCGTGCAGGAGCATCGCCGCTCTCAGCTCAGCTGCTCACACAGCATCTAAACCCTAAAACCTAAACCCTAAACCTAAATGGTACCGAGCTCTCGCTGACTTCGTGTTCCTTATTATGACCCTTAAAACCTTAAACCGCAAACCCTACCCGCCTTCATCCTAAGTCCGAAGCCTTGAAGCTTAAACTTTCTCATGGCCCAAGGGGTCTTGCTTCTAGAAAGATTTCGGGCTCAAAGATCATCCCGTCTCGGCGGGCTGCAAAACATAGAAGTCGCCTGCGTCTTGTTGAAGAAGGGTCCCTGCTGAAGACGTCAGGAAGGTGGTCAGATGTGTCTAGTGATAGTGACTCGGCCTAGCCTATAATCGTTTAGCACTGAAGGGGGGTAAAAGTGACGGTAGTTTACCCTAAATCCTAGACCCCTAACCCCTAAACCCCTAAACCCTAAACCCTTAAATCCCTAAACCACCAAACCCCTAAACCCCTCAACCCTAAACTACCATGTTTTCAGGTTACATGTTACTCTTAGGGCCTCAGCCGCTGAGACCTCTCGGACCCAGATCTCACCCTCCGAGAGCCGTCAAACATAAGGTCCAAGTTAGGGCAATTACCCAGAGAGCCCAATACCCCTTAATTAAGGAATATACCTTAAATCATAATATTACGGCCCCTATAATTTAAGATATATTTCTTATTGGGATCCTCGAGACATCGGGTTGGCCCTTTAACTCGTTGGTTCGCCTTGTTCTCTAACTCCTGTCGCCTCAACCCTAACCCCTAAACCCTCTTTTGTGCTTAACTCTCCTTGTCATTTTGTTTGCTCAAGCGTCCGCCTCCGATCCTGTCTCGTCCCGGGCCCGCGGAATGAGCAGAGGCAGATCTGATCTGGATTTTGTTTAGGGGAATCGGTGTAGGATTCAAGGCTTTGTGTTTTTTCCTTTCGCTTGTGATTTAGGCTCCAAGGTTGATTTGTTCATACTTACATATTCTTTCCAAAGGCGCCCAAGTCAAGTGGTGTTTGGCCAGGCGTGATAGGCCCTCAGTTGTTAGGAAGGAAACTGCTGAAAGAGGGCTTAGTTTGCCGAACTCTAGAGTTGACGCCATTTAACGCCCTTAAACCCATCAACCACTTATCCTCCAGAACATTTTAGGTAAACCCATGTGCTGAGCTTGACATCGGCGGTACATGGACCTAATGCTGGCAGCTGCCAGAACCCCGCTGTGCCGTATGGTCCTTGCCGATTCTAAAGTAAGATAAGTAAGGCTTATCCAAAGACAACTTAAGACTTTGAGACCCTACAACAGATCAACATAAGGGCCGATGTAATTGCCAATGCTAATTTTTTTTGGGGGGGTTGTTACTAGAGTTATAAGCTATAGTAGAATACCCCCCAATAACCCTATTCTAACTGTTCAGGCCCCTAAACCCTAAACCCCTATAGTAGCCCTCATAGACCCTTTAAGGAACCCTTTAAAGGAACCCTATGAAACCTTATTGGGTAGTCTAAGGTACACTGAGGAATCTCCGAGTTGAGACCGCCGAGCCGCCAATCTCCCTAAACCTCGTGTGCCTGCTAAACTATAAGGTTTAGGGTTTAAGGTTCAGGGTTTAGGGTTTAGGGTATACCGATAACGGCGCCGTCTGCAAACACAGCTAAACACGAGAATACACAAACAAATCTGTATACATGTGTATGTGTGTGTGTGTATGTACGTACACATACGTACATGTGTGGCATATCTGTGACATTGTTCATGTACATATTATGTATCTGTATGTCAAGCACTAAGGGTTCAGGATGGTTCAGGTGTTGGCCTCTTGAAGGGTGGAGGCTGCGGGTTCATGTGGTTTGTTTATTTACAGACTTTCTATAACGTACTGAGTGTCGGGCAAAAGGTGATGCGTCGGCAAACAACCGTCGATTGCAACTAGGCTGCAAAACACGCATCTGGGGGGCCTGTTCTGCACCCTATCAATGGTTTATATAGACTAGAGTATACGATGGTTACTGACGGTCAAGGCCTAAGACGAGGCGATATCCTTAAAGCCCTAATACAGAAGTAGGAGTCCAGCGTGGTAACCACCCGTCCCCCCCTCCACCACAAACCCAACACATATCCTCACCTTGGACGACTTCGATAAACACCTCGAGTTGGAGCTATGCTCGTGGTCTCTAGGCGCACGGGCTCTTGGGAAAGGCTTTGCTTTCGGGTTCGGGGTATTGGGTTTTGGATGCTGGTCTAATGTAGGGGCCTGATTACTATTCCTTCGGGTTTCTGTTGCTGAATGTCATACAAGTTACACCCGAAAGCCCTAGCATAATTACTGAGGCCCCTATTTTATGTCTTCGCATAAAGCATATCGCACAGGGAGCTCTAGTAACTCTAGCAATATAAGAAGCTCCATGTCGTTTGAACCAGAGGCATTGGCTGCAGGAAGCAGACTCCCTAAGCCTCCGCCATGGAACCCGTCCGAAAACGCCTAGCTCTAAGCCCTGACAGCACTAAGCCTCAACAGCACCCGGGGCCCTGAACCCTGGCGCTTGCTTTGGTTTCACGCCGACTGCACTCGATAGACCTCGCCTGGATTGTCCGAGTTGCGACAGTGTAAACCCTAGCTCCTGAGTACCCTAGAGGATCGCAATGCTGAAGGTTTTGCAGCAGTCGATGAAAGTTCACGTTTAACCGGGTGCTAACTTAAGCCAAGTTACCCTGACTCAATTTGAGAGGTTCAGGGGTTGGGGGTCTTAGGTCAACATCTCGGATGCCTGTTCTCCACCTTGGACAGTTTCAAACCTTTTAATTCGGGAAATTTATCTTCGCTGTAAGTGGGAGCTGCAAAATAGTGGACCCTCTTGTAGTACATCTTCGGTATAAGGACCCTTATACTACAACCCTAAACCCTCAACCCTAAATGGGGTTTAGGGTTTAGGAGTGCTAGTTTTCTGCCCTCACCGGCCCTCTCGAACGCAAATGGGCGTCCGAAGATTTCTTATCCTCGGCTTGGAAGAAGTGGGACAGCAGCTGTGAAGGTTTACTTAGCGGGGTAATTAATGGCGTCTTTATGGGTGGCTCTCTAAACTAGGGTCACTTTTAGGGTCCATTTTATAAGGGTGCCGTACTATATTATTGGGGACCCAACATGCGGCCCGAATTTAGAGAACTACCCATATGACACGTTGTAGGCATCATAGGCATAGGGCGTTCAGGGTCCAGTGCCTGGACAGGAGGGCGTAGGTATATAGGCCTCAGGGATTGGAGGGGGTAGGGTTGGCATGGTCTGGTGTCATATAGGGTTGAGGAGTTATGGTGTCCCCCCCAACACTTATCCCCTTTTTCTAGCCCACACTTTTTCATTCCCGGAATCATCAACTTAACAGGTGGCTACCCTAACCTACCAAAGTCACGCTTTCACTTCTTCCAGCCGTCTTAAATTCGATATGACTTACAAAAAGCACACTAGGCAGCTAAACATGTTCGGCTGCCAAAGTGCCACAGTAAAGTGTACCAACCCTGAAGCACAAACTGTAGAGCACCCCAAACAAACCCCAAACCGCTGAACCTAAACCCCGAAACCCCTGAACCCTTCGTTAAGAACCCCAGAACCCCATAAAGCTGAAACCTCCAGCTAGACGAGACATCGGTCACCGAGGCTCCTGAAGGTCACCGTGGAAGTGACGGCAGGGGGCTTGGGACTTCAGGGTTTAAAGGTTGAGGGTGTAATTAGGGTTTAGGCATTTAAGGGTTAATTATAGGGTTTAGGGGTTCAGGGGTTGATTAGGGTTTACCCGGCAGTCGCAATAGGCCTGGATGCAAAACGGGTTGATTAGGGTTTAGGGGTTTAGGGGTAATTATAGGGTTTAGGAGAGAGAGAGGGGGGTAATTATAGGGTTTAGGGGTTTAGGGCTTAGGGTTTGGGACTTCAGGGTTTAGGGATCCACTGCTGCCGGTTAGGCATACTTGCGCACGGGTTCTGCGGAGAGAGGGAGCTCCCCTCTTCCGGAGACGAATGCGAAGGGTTCAGGGTTTAGGAGTTTAGGGTTCAGGGGCTTAGGGTTTAGGGATTTAGGGTTTACGGGTTTAGGGTTTGGGGGTTTAGGGTTCAGGGGTTTCGGGTTTTAGGTTTGAGGGGTTCAGCAGAAAGGTCTTCGCAGACGACCTGATGTCTGTCTTCTACTGTCATGCCCTAAAGCCTAAACCCTAAGCCGCTTCGAGCGCGGGTTTCGAGCACTGAACAGCCAAAGCTTACAGGCAATGAGACCGCGGTCCCAAGCCTTGCAGCCCCAGGGCCCAAAAACCCCCCACCAAAGCGAAAATCCCCAATGCAACAAAGCCTGCTTCACAAGCGACAAAACCCTGGGCTTTCGAGCAGCAGGTTATTCCGATGAACTCCACCTTGCAGCTCATTGCGGATTCGGGTTTTTTTTTGATTCTGACAACTATCTTCGTATCTGGGTACCTAGCCTTTGAAGTTTTGGGGGGCATTATACAATCACCCCTTCCAGAACCCAAGGTTCTTCTTAACAGGAACAATCAGAGACCGAGTTCAAAGTCAGTGGTTTCGCGGTGTTCAGTGATGATGGGCTTTGAGCCTCGTGTCGTCTCGCTCGGGTGGTGTCTCGGGAGTTCAATATCCTGTAGCCACGCATCCAATATGCCGTGTTCCCTAAACCCTGCACCCCAAAGGAATCACATAGCAAACAGCGAGCGAAATTCCCGGACTGAGGTGTTTTCAAGCCTCGCCTCCTTTGCTTCCACAGCCCGAAAGCCCTTAAACCCTACAGCCCACCCCTACCTAGACCCCCAAACACCCTACCCTGTTCAGGATTCATGCAAGGAAATCATTCTAAGGAACTCTACAAGATAAAGTTTTCTTAGAGCCCAGGCAAACCCAAAAAGAAGAGCCCAAAGCCGCAAGCGACGATGGCCTCCCCCCGAGTCCGACAAGCATGAGCCCATCTTTGTCCACGAGGGCGATCGGGCCTACGCCTCAGTTTGCGGGGTCCAGGGAATGCTCGAAGCAGCAACTCGATGTCCTTATGAGTGCTCCTTAGGGTTTAGGGTTTAGGGTCCTTTCTCGCCTTGGCTTCTCTAATGGTGGATCACTCTGCCTAAAAAAACCCTAAAACCCTAAACCCTATACCCTGAACCCTATGTCCTAGACCCTAAACCCTAAACTGTTCGTTGAAAACCCCTCACTTCGAAGTTCTGAGCCCTGGAGTACTTCGTTTTTCGGTCTTTGAGCTTCGAAAGCTGAACCCTGTAGCCAGGAGAAAACCAGATGGGATGTCATAGGATGTTTTGGGGCTTAGGGCTTAGAGGTTTAGGGTTTGGGGCCGGCTTCGTTCGGCTGCTCTGCTACACCCAAATCGACAACCACGACGCTCTCTGTTCCCTCAACTCTTGATGAAAACCCTCAGAAAAATTATGCCGAGATGCAAGGCATTGGAGGGTGAAAGGCCCCAACCCGAAATCAGAATCCTAAACTGCGAAGACAAAGTTTTCCTGGCGACAAGGCGGAGGCTTTGGCCATCCAGTTCTGCAAAGAGCATGAGCTGCCACCAGAGATGGCACAAGCCCCAGGGTGTGGGTTGTATTAGCAGGTTCGTTGCTTTAGGTGCCGTTTGGCTTTTTGTGTTTGGCCTTGGCTGTGAGTTCGAACTTGTGTTCAGGTTTTTGGGTGCCCGGGCTTGCTTCATAACCGTCCCAAGTGCAGGGTGCCGGAGTTTACGAGACCCTGTATCCCAAACCCAGTGCCGGCAAGCCTTCGCACTGGACCTGGTTGCTCTAGAGCCACTATCCCTGGTCTCAGCCTACAGTATCATTTCAACGGTTAAAGGGTTTTGGATTTATAGGCTGGAAGTGAACGTTCGATTGGGTCTCTAGACGCGCGAAGCTGATAAGCCCCATGGCTTTCCGCGAACATTGGGTATGTTCTAAACTGCAGTTCGTTTCACATAAACAAATAAACAAGTAAATAACTATAGATAAATAAACATATATATATACGTATATACATACATATACATACATACATGCATGCATGCATACATACATACATACATACATATATATATATATATATTCGTCAGGGGAATCCTTGGAGGAGGCCGAAATCAGAATAGTGCAGGTAGATGTCTTCAGCCCCATCAGCGAGGGTTATGCAACAGATCTTCGCATCGGAAATCGTGAACCCGAATGACTGGGAGTCTGCCTGGCTGGCTGGCTGGCTGGCTGGCTGTATGTCTCCCTTTCCCTCTCTCGCTCGCTCTCTCTCCCTCTCTTTCTCCCTCTCTCTCTCTCTCTCTCTCTCTGTCTCCCGTCTCTTTCTCTCCTGTCTCCTTCTCTCGCTCGCTCTGGCTCTCGCGCTCTCTCTCTCTCGCTCTCTCTTTCTCTCCCGCTCTGTCTCGCTCCATAATCCATGTGTGTCGACACTTGTGCACGACATGTGCAGCACTGCATGCGTTGGCTTCTACCCAAGGCAGGCCTGGTTGTCGAAATATCCGACTGGGCGGCGATACCATGCACACGGAGCAGTCTACCTCGGCGAGCAGATATATGACATATGTAGTGTACAAGTCTTTGCAAAAGCCTCCCACGTGCCAGCGGCCACTAAAGCGCTGCAGCTGTGGCATGCTTGTGAGTGACAAAACAATCTGAGCTCGCCAGCTGCATGCACTTGACTGCCTCTAGGGCTTCGCTTCCGCGAGTTCGAGCTGTGTGCATGCACCGTGATATATACACATATATCTCATGTTTATGTGTCTGTGCAAACCGCTCGCCGAGGCCACCTACAGATCCGCGATACGTACAGCGCGGGATGTGGTCTCAGACATCGGGGAAGAGGCAGCGGCTGCTAGCGGAGGCCTTGTGGAGCTAGCTGCAATTTCGGAGAATAGATCAGAGAGAGATGGCTCACGGCTAATGGGGCGCAAAGCTGGTTTGAGCTTGCAAGTTCCACTGTCGATGCTCGGGGAAAAGGATCTTGCCTTCCCCATTCTGAAGCTTCGAGATTGGGGACAGTTTCTAGCTGACAAGCACTGCTTACACATGCTGGTCGGGTTGGCGAAACCCGACCTGAAGAGAGAGCAAGACATATGTCAAGAATTTTGGGCCAAGCACAAGAAGCTTCATCCGGATCACCAGATATATGAACGCTTTGCCCAGGGCTCACTGGAGCCAAAGCTGACTTTTCCTTTCGTCTTTCATGGAGATGAGGGGCGAGGCCGCCGCCGTACGCCTTTTCTTGTTTGCAATTTCCACAGTTTGATGGGAAAGGGCACACAGGAACAACGTGGACAACCCAGACCATATCTCAAGCTCCGGATGAATTTTAAGGACAGCTCCCTGATCACGAGACTTCTTCACTGTGCAGTTCCAAAAAAGCTGCACCAGCAAAGCCACATATTTCAAGCTCTCATGGAAAGCGCGGCGACTGAAGCTGAGTTCATGGTCAACAGTGGTGTGGTACAGAAATACACGGGCCGCCGAGTCGAGGGGATTTTTCGCATCAACTTTTTCACTTAATATACACTTGTGACAGGGCTCTGGATCTTCTCTATATATATATATATAGAGAAACATAAAGCCGGGGTTTTTAGTTTTTTGTTTATGAGACTTTAATTGCAAAGAACACATCCTGTTTAAGTAAAATTTTAGAAATGAAACCCAGGTTTACTTCGCAGTGCTTGCCGTCACAGGCGATTGGCCCTGGCTTCATCGATGTGGCTCTCTTGCGAGGAGCTTCAACAATGTTGCGAAAAAGACTGGCGACAAGATGACGGGCATTTGCCATTTGTGTGCTGCGGGGGCCCCAGGCGTACCCTGGGAAACTATTCATGAAAGGGACCCGCTTTGGCTGAAGACAGTTTTTTCCGAGTCTGGATTCGCACATGTGCCTGCTGTCGCTCGGCTGCTTGCTGTCCCAGGGCAGGAGGAGGCCATCCTGGCATATGATTTGTTCCATGCTTTCCATTTGGGCGTTGGAAAGCATTTCCTTGGAAGCTGCCTAGCTCTCTGGAGCTCTCACTTTCCGGGAGGCAACGTGGACAAACGCTTCGAAGGCTTGGAAAGTAGCTTTTTTACGTGGTGCAAAGCAAACCGAGAAGTACCTGTACTCACACGACTCACAAAAGAAACTATCCAATGGCCGTCCACTTTCGATTATCCAGCCGGGAGCTGGTTCAAAGGCTCCGTCACGACCGTCCTCTTCAAGTTTTTGCAGGCAACCATGTGCCAGCAAAATTGGGCTCACGAGCCGATGCTGGCAAAAGCTGCCGAAGCAGTTCAAAGCATCAACAGGTTTTTCTCAGCTTTGTATGCGTCTGATTTATACCTGGAGCCTGGGAGAGCCATCGAAATCGCGGAAGATGGGCTGCGCTTTATGCGCCGCTTGGCGTGGCTTGCCAAACAGGCCACCAAGGATGAACGTGCTCTTTGGTTGCTGACCCCCAAAGTGCATATAATGCACCATCTTCTTCTGAAGGACATGCTTCTGCCCGCGCAACATGGTATTTCGCCGATGAACGTACTAGCATGGTCCGTCCAAATGGACGAAGACTTTGTCGGGGTGAGCAGCAGGCTAGCGCGGCGTGTGGACGCGCGTACATGTGCGAAACGCTGCATAGAGAGATATCTCTTGGCTGCTTATGCACAGTATGTCAAAGCGAAGTACCTCCTAGGGCACTCATGATGGCACAAAGTGGTATGATAATACACTATATTGCACAGATGTGTGTATATACTGCTGTGACACTGCGTCTTGAGCTGCCCCAGCTGAGTTCGCGGCTTTCCTATAGAGCGATGGCCAGGATGGAGAGCAGAAAGGCCACAGCGGAGACTTCGATCTGATGTAATTCCCTCTTCGATCCCCACTTCTAACCCAGAACTCCTGGACGCCCCAAACCTTTCCAAGGGATCTTGGAGGTCTTCAGTTGGGGTTATGTTGGCTATGTTTTGGGCTTTGCAATGCTCTGCAACATGGATGATAGTCAGGCTGTTTTGTTCTTTGTCGAGATCACTTAAATTCAGGGTTTTCGTAAAACCCGTCTTTCCTTAAAAAACCCGGTTTTGTCCCATAACCCTATTTTTTCTAGGGTTTCGGTTCCTAAGGTATGCCCAGAGGCGTGACCCGCTGAAGTGGACGACAGACCATTTTGCACTCCTGTTCCAGGCAGCGGCCGAAGACCAAGTCCCAGTTCATTGGGAGCAAGAGGGGTGTGATGGGGTCCCGTTCCAAGTCGAGGAGCTGAGGGAGGTGGTCAACAAGGGCAGAAATGGTCGAGCGGTGGGGCTTGACCTCACGTCCTACGAGCTGGTCAAGGAGCTCTGCAAAAACACGACCTCCGAAGGATCCCTCCTTGCATGGATGGAGTCGATCAGGATGGGGGCCCCAGTCCCGGAAGAGTGGCTGACCACCATCATTACCCTTTTGCCCAAGAAGCCCAAGCCGGAGAGCCCGTCGGATCTTCGCCCGATTAGCTTAAGTTCGGCGGTGAGCAAAGTGTACGGAGGCTTGTTGCTGAACCGAACGAGGAGAGCCCTTCAGCCCCAAGGCCCTGAGCAGTGCGCCTTGGGAGGAAGGCAGACATCTGACTATTTGTTTGCAGTCATGCGCACCTTCTCCCTAGAAACTGAGTGGCGCTTTGGCCTGAGCTGGTTAAAGCTCGATATCAGTAAAGCCTACGACTCCATCCATAGATGGAAGATCCTTGAGTACCTGCGGGGCAACCTTCCCCCGAGCATGTGGAGGGAGTTCGAGTCGTGGAAACAGCTGCTGGAGCCAGGAAGGGCGCAGGTCCGAACGCCCTGGGGATCGGCCTACATTAGCCAGACCAAAGGCATCAGACAAGGCTCAGTCGAGAGCCCCTTCATCTTTGCTGTGGCAATGGAATGTGCTCTGCGCAGAGCCCAGAGCGCGGAGGGGTGGCCTCGAGTGCTAGGTGGGGCCCCTGACATGGCTCTCTCCTCGTTGTTGTACATGGACGACAGCATTCTGTGGGACACGTCTAGGGAGTCCCTCGAGAGGAAGTTCACTATCCTCAGCAAGGAGTTAAAGCAGTGGGGCCTAAAGGTCAATCCGAAAAAGACGGTATTCTATAGTTCCCCACATGCGCCTAGCCTGCCGCAGATCAGGCTGGATGGGGTCGTAGTACAGTCGTCGGATGCCTTGGAGGTGATGGGGGTTAGATTCGCAGTGCCCTTCAAGCCGGCCGCGATCATGGACACGGGTATGGCAAAGGCACGGAAGAAATACTTTGCCAGCCGAGAGGTCCTGGAGTGTAGAGGGCCCCTCAAGAAGAGGCTCCAGGTGTTCAGAACGGCAGTAGGGGGTGCAGCTCTGTGGTATGCATCGGCAGCACCACCAAACTTCCAAGCTATGGGGGCTTTGAACACCATGCAGCTGGAGTTTGTGGCACGGATGGCGGGGCACAAGCGGAGGCCCGATGAGAGCTGGCTCGACTTCAGAATGAGGAGCCTTCGAGCTGCCCGTCAGATCTTAAGCAATGCTGGCATGGAGCGCTGGAGCACAACATGGCTCCGGAGACACTGGCAGTACCGAGGGCACGTGGTTCGTGCTGCCAGTAGAGACCAGCCTCCAGCTAGCTCAGTGATGGACGGGTATCGCACTCTACCTTGGTGGAGAAGACAGCAGGCCAGTCGAGACGGAGTGCGGCATCCTGCGGCCTTCTTCCCTCACCTCTCCAATGAGGAAGTGCGACTCAACAGGGCAGCGGGGAGGGCAGAGTGGAGAGAGCTAGCAGCCGACCCGGTGGAGTGGAAGAAGAAGGAGGACCAGTGGGTCAGGCAGAACGACATCGCATGGTGCTCTGGGCGACAGCTCACTTTGACAGGGTGACCGGTGAAGCCCGTACAGGGATGGTGGAGGGACTTGTGAACCCGCGGTGGTTGCTGTGGCTGACCCCCCCCCCCCGTTACCTGCTCGTCTCCCGTCAATCATGATGCTGACACTCCTTTGAATCCCTTGACATTGCAAGTAGTCCACGTTCTGATGGAGCACTCCTTTTTCTCTATCTAGTTGAATTTCCCGACAGAAAGCAGACCATTGACAATGATTCATGGCACAGCTGAGATCTACATGCACCAAGTGACGCAGCCCTTTTTGGTTTGGTTCTCTCGCTGAAGCTTCTAGGACGGGCGGCTGAGTGGAGCTCGGTGTAAGCCCCGCACAATTCGATGAGCTCGCTGCGCTACATGCTAGCATGGTTGGCGCTGTGTGTACTGCCCGTGATGGCCAGTCCGAAGGCACAGCAGCAGTGCGAGCAAGATGGGCTAGCCCAAGAACCCCATGGTGCAACCGACAGTTGCGAGCACAGCCAGGCACTACCAGCAGGAGATCGGCGAGTGCTCAAGCCCCAGGCCTCCCTCCACTACACGATTCTGCCGAAGGAGATGAAGGAGAACTCAGAAGAAGAAGTGAAGGGCCCTGCACTGGGTCGCTGCCGATGTGGCCAAAGTGGGCCTGCTCTACCAGAGCGAGATCGACGAGTGTGCGAGCTCCAAGAGATGCACGAGTCCTCGAACAACCTGATCCTGCAGAAGAACGAGGACGAAAGCAGTGACCAGGCAAAGTGTGAAGGGAAGGACGCCGCACCCAGTTGTCGTCGCCGCCGACGGTGTGATCAGGCCCTACCAGAACGAGATCGGCGGGTGCACGAGCCCCAGGAGCCCTTGGACAGCACGACCCGGCAGAAGTACGAAGAGCATGGACTGAGAGATGATCTGCTCCGGCCAGGAAATGGAGGTGAGACGCACAGGCCCCCTCGAGGCCGAGCAGGTGAAGCTGCCCCACCAGTGCCAGCCGGCGGCCAGTCTGAATACCTGGGCTGCGAAGCGGACCCGGAAAGTGAGATGGCCCTGGACACCGAGAAGGAGTACATCGAGCAGAGACCAGGCCTTGAACCTGACCCCGATCCTGCAGTACCACTGCGAGTTCGGCGGGTCCCCGAGCCACTGGCCCTCGTAGATTACATGACCGTGCCAAAGCCCGACAAGTCGAACCGGCGGCGCCTGACAAGAGGCAACCGGCAACACGGTGGCAAGGCTGCCCTGAGAGAGTGCTGGCAGGCACCAAGCCGAGAGCGCCGGCCGTGTGAGAAAGAAGGAGAGGAAGCCGAGGAACTCAGCAGCCTCCAGCAGATTGGCACGGTGATCCTGGCGGTGGGGGCCCGAGTGACCTCTGGCTTTGAGAGACCGTGGCCTGTGGGCACTGAGCCAGTGTGGTGGACGAACCTGCTTGAAGAGGGCTTTGAGATGCAGAGAGATGGCAGGTGCATGTGGGAGGTTGCCGAGAGGCTGGAGATCATGGTGGCCAGACGAGAAGACGAGCGCTACATGGAGGGAGTGGCGATATGGTTGGATGGTTTGAAAAGGCGATGGGACGAAGAGAACCAGGCCCAGCTTCCCCCCAGAGGAGGGCCCACCAGCGACGAGCAGTGTGAAGAGTTTGTAGTGAGTTCCGAGGCCATCCTCAGGAGAAAGTGGCTGGAAACTTTGTGCCCGGTGGCATGCAACAATTGGGCCCTTGAGCGCTACTTCCGGGAGTTCAGCATGTCTAGCAGCCCTGATGGCGACCGCATGCGGGACGAGGCGGAACTGGAGGAGGTGCAGACAACTCGCCTCTCCAGGAGCAGGACACCTCAGAGGAGATGGCGGGACCCTGCTCGAGGCCCTCGTCCGATTGACAGGCGCCTGCTAAATCGCCGCGAGGGCGAGGGCGACAATGAGGAGCTGTCCCTGGTCGTCAAGAAATTCTTGCTGAAGAAGAAAGACTCTAAGTCTCTTCGGCGTCTTGTGGACAACCCGGCTGCGTGGAGGCAAGGGCCAGGTGTGAAGGTCACGACATCCAAGAGGACCCTGGCTCCGCGAACAGGGACATCGTGGCGCAGATGTGAGACCCAAAGTGAGGCGGCGAGGCCGCGAGCACCAGGAGCCTCGTCTGCCCCCTGGGCAACAGCGGCAAGCAGTGGGGAGGCCAGGCAAGAGATGGCGGCGAGGCGGCAAAGTAAGGCCACCGGCAGCGACTGTCCTGCCCCAAGAGGGGGCGCAGAGACGGAGCAGGAAGAAATGGACGAGCTCGGCGCCTCGTTCCTGTGGAGAACGATGTTGGGGTTGGACACCGACTCGGACTATGAGGACGAGGAGCCGTCGCACATGCCTGGCTTTGTCAACGAGCCGGCCTACAGCACAGTCTATGAGACACTCATGGACAAGCCTCCTGAAGAATATGCCATGATGGTGGCGGCGCTGCCCAACTTCGTGGAGCTCCTGCACAACGACCTACAGGCCATTGCCGCGAGAGTTGGGCATGAGCGAGGCCTTGAGGGTGTCCCGAGAGAGCCGGCAGAAGATGATAACCAAGATGGAGGCCTGGACAATGGAGCAAGTCCTAGCACGGGGTCTGCTAGACCCCCGGAGCCAGACCAACATGATGTTGTGGTTGAGGATGCGGAGGTGGTTGAAATAGAAGTTGAAGCAGAGGAGGAGGAAACGGCCCTGGTGCAAGTGGGAGCAAAAGTTAGAGGTGGAGGACAAGCCAAGATGCAATGCAGCTCAGCCCACCAGAATATCCTCTCTCTACGAGACTGGCTGGAGGAGAAGTGGGAGGCTGATTACCAAGTCTATGACATGGTGGACGTGGCCCGAAATCACTTGAAGCTGTCACTCCCGGACCCTCAGGAGCTGGCCCGAGGACAGGAGTGGCTCCAACTGGTCCTGTCAGTGCTCCCGTGTGGCCCAGACAGGAGACAGCCAGCCAGGTGGGAGGACATCTCCCCCTGCCAGCGCGACTGGGCCAAGAAGGTGGTGAGCAACATTGCTGCGCAAGTGCATATGGAAATGGAGGAGGAAAAAGCGTGCCTGATGCAGCGAACCCTTACTGGCATGGTCCCCCACATGCATGCCTCAGAGGCCTCGCTCGTCAACTCGGAGTTGGGGCAGCTGCCAGAGGATGAAGCTAGAGTGGCAGCCCAAACACTGCATGGTCGCCTCCGTCGGCACTCCTCCCAAATTCCAGCATGGGAACAGATCGAAGCTGTTCTGGTGGCTCACTCCCCCAGCACGGCCGAGAGGGCGGAGGAGACAGCATGCAATGAGAAAGTGAGGGCTTGGGTGGCCACGTGGACACAACAGTTGGCCCCGCCGATGCAGAGCAGAGCAGCCTCGTCCCACGAGAGGCCGGCACCTGAAGTTGGGGAAGTGGCGGACCCGATGCAGGATGAGAGGGCTGCTGAGGAGGACAGGCAACGCCAAGCTGATGAGGAGCTGTTCCAGTGGCACACAGTGCAGGCTGCCCGAGAGGCGCAGATTGAAGACAGGGCGGCAGTCCTGGCTCAAATGGGCTGGAGTGTGAAGGTCAAGAAGCAGTGGATGCTGGACGTTACGGTGCAGACCGGGTTGGGACAGAACACCATGTCAGTGCCGTTGAGCGAGGGCGGAACCGTGAGCCTGCAAATGACCACCAAGGCCAGCACCGAGCATGAATACCGGTATCAGGGGCGGCTACAGGAGCCGGATTATGCGCGCAAACGCATGGCTGAGGCGGAAGAAGAGCACCATGTGGCGGAAAAGCTTCGAGGAGAAAAAGGGGTGAAGAGGCGAACCATGCGCACAGATGACCCTGAGGTTAGGCCCTTCTACCTGATGTGGGAGCGAGGCGAAGTCGATTGGGCAAAACTGGTGGCGATGGTGGGGGAGGACATGGCGAAGTTCATACAGATCGCTGCGGAGGTCCAGTCCCAAGATGTGGCCACCCCTGCGGTCCCGATGACGCAGCTCTACGAGACCCAGACCCAGAACGCAGCTCAAGTGATGGAGAACCGGCACGCCAACCCTGATGAAATGGACACGGTGCCCATGGCAAACATGTCGGATGCTAGTACAGTCTTGCTGGAGCCAAATGGCCCAGACTCAGTAGCTGAAGAGTAGGGCAGAGGCTCTCAGCAGGGCGCCCGGTTGTAGTCTTGGCTACTCAGGTTATGTACTGGTTGTGCAAGTTTGAACGGGCTAGCTGAGTTGCTTCCAAGCCTCGTGCGAGCGTGTATATGTGACCAGCAAGGATTGTCACCCTGTGCTCCCAACTGCTGCCAGTTGTGTATCTGGTGTTACTGGAGGGTAGGTCCTACCTTGCGGTAGTTGCGATGTGCTGATGCGGGAGTGTGCAGCAGGATGGAGTGACCCATGCTCTTGTTCCCTTTCAGCCAGAGTGCCTGCTCAGATTTGTTATGTGAGGGTAGTTGGACTTTATGTGGTTACTTACGATGTGGGCTGAGGACCTGGTCGAAGGGACATGGATAGCGAGCAGTTGACTCGTCTGTGTGCTTCTGAACAAGTGTTATACTTTGGGTTGTGTTCGTTGTGGTTCTGAACTTGCTGTAGGCTTTTGGGGTCTTCGTTTGTACTATGGTTCGGCGCACACAGTAGGAGAGTCGCTTGGGCAGGTCAGGGTGTTGCTGCGACCTTCTTATGGTTGCGCTGCTGACTGGGGGCCATGGGCGTTTGTGATTGAAGGTTAGTGGGTATGTTCTCTTTCAGGTACTGGCCCCTGTCCAATGCCTCAGCCAGCTTGGCCTTTCGGACTCCTTCGGGCTGATGAAAAAGGGGCGATAAAAAAAAAAAATAACCCTAAACTCTAAACCCTCAGAGCTTCCCCAAAAAACCCTAAACCCTCAGAGCTTCCCAGAAAAACCCTAAATCCTAAACTCCAAAAAAGC